CTGTGAGTCCATGTCCGAGCGCTGGGCTGACAAGGCGTTTAGGTGCTGTGGCTCCCCACCACACCAGCTGAGATGTTCTGCCTTCAGACCCACGCTAATATGGCTGCACAGCGCTGTAGAAGACATGCAAGAGGGCATGCCTTGGCATGGAGTAACACAAGTTTTGGTGTCACTGCATCACGGTCTTCTGCAGGTTTATCTTTGTGAGGAAATTGCCCAGAGTAGCTACTTCACATGGCTACTGTAAGCTAACCCCACGGCTGTGGACACCAAATGTCCACAGGTTAGCTTCACCTTATTTCAGCTGAATATCACAGCAAGTGCCCAGAAAGAGATCAAATGGTAATTAGCTACTTTTTTTTTTAATCAATTCCCTCACTTATTTCACTATAATACTCCTGTATAGATAACCCATCTTTTTCTGTTCTTCCACTTTTTCAAGGGAAAATAAATGATGTTATATAGCTTAAGTAATGAATACAGTTGAAAGGAATGAGATGTGCTGGTCTAATACATACACATTGTTTTATTGACATGTGAAGTGTTTGTCTGGATGGCCTAATGCTTCCAGGGTATGATGAAAATTCACTACAAAAATAGGTAAAAAGTCAAGTCAGAGGTTTTTAGCTGGACAAAATAAACAAAAGTCTGCAATTTACCCTTCCCCTGAAGTTAAACTAGCTTCTCTTGCCAACAGTAACACAACAGAATTATTTCAACAGAATTATATCAGCACTTCTTCTATCTCAATATTAAGTTCAGGCATCTGCTAACAACTTATCGCTTGTTGTTGTTGTTACTTGGCCAGATCCTTTATCTGTATACAACTTATTCATGCTGGAGTTCACTTTATTTCAATACTTATTTGCTTTTCCCACAGTCTGCTTCAAATTTTCTCTCTTTCAACCCACAACAATTTGATATTTCTTAAAGGCCCTTTTGTTATGGATAGTTTTCCCCTAGGATACTAAGTCACTTCACAAATAGGTTCTTTACCACAGCACACTTTTTTTCTACCTTAGTCATGGAAGCAACAGAAAGAGGTTCTAAGAAAACAAACATGTACAGATCAGATTATCTATAAAAAAAATCACAGAAACTACATCTTATTTGTGGAAAATATACGTTTTGTGATTTTGCAAACAATGGAAGAGCTATTGAAAGAAGAATACAAATAAATGTTATGGAACTCGTCTTATTCATCATGGAATTAAAAAAGTGAACAAGCAAAACACGTTACTGCCCGGTTAAACTACTGGGGAGGGGCTGCAGATTTTTAATATTCCTCTTCTCTTTCTCTTGAAAACAACAAAGAAAAATCCAAGTGCTTCTAAAGCTCTTGAGACTGAATGGAACCTATAATAAAACAAGTGTATGGTTGACTGGACCTCAAGAAATAAGTAGTTTCCCAATCCCATTCTGAGATGAGATTGAGTGTATCTAATCTATGCTAAGAGGTCCATCTAACCTGTTCCTCAGAACTGTCACTGATGAGAGTTTTAAATTTCCCCCTGGTTATTTGTTACTTAATTGTCTGATAAGTTAAAAAAGTGGCTTATCAAAGGTGTTTCATTCAAAGAGACTACACCTACAGACTCCTGCTTCTAAGGACTCAGGCAGCTAGAAACTGCATCCAGCCGTGTTTCCTTGTTCATGAGGTCAGAGAGGCAAGAGTGTTCCCTTCTTGTCCTTCTCTAGTCGCAAGTCTTTTGGAAGTAGTGTGCAATCCACATGCAAGGTATTCAACGACATATTGATTTGTCTTATCACGAAGGAATGCCTGGAGTATTGATCTTCCCTTCCTCCCACCTGCTAAGAGAATTCTCTGGGGAGTTTACCTCCCTCTTGACAACCAGCCTAAGGGTGGAGTCACAAGAGGTGCCACTGAGCCTATCTCTCACCATGAGCATCAGAAAAAAAGAGAGGGACTTTTCCGTGAATATCTTTATTACTATCTCTGACTTTGAGCAGGCTCACCAGTATGCTGAAGTGCTTACACTGCAAGCAGCAGCTTAAGTAGTTCAAAAACTGGTTCCAGTGTGTCAACACCACACTACAATAAACTGAAATACTGTGCTTGGTTTTGGGCCCCTCACTGCAAGAAAGACATTGGGGTGCTGGAGCATGTCCCAAGAAGGGCAGTGAAGCTGGCGAAGGGGCTGGAGCACAGACCTTACGAGGAGCGGCTGAGGGAGCTGGGGTCAGTGAGCCTGGAGAGGAGGAGGCTCAGCGGGGACCTTATTGCTCTCTACAACTACCTGAAAGGAGGTTGTAGTGAGGCCTGGGGTGATCTCTTCTCCAAAATTACTACCCATAGGACAAGAGGGAGTAGTCAAGCATTGGAACAGGCTGCCCAGGGAAGTGGTGGAGTCACCATTCCTGGCAGTGTTCAAGAAATGTGTAGATGAGGTGCTTAGGGACGTGGTTTAACAGGCATGGCAGTTTATGGTTGGACTCAATGGTCTTGAAGGTCTTTTCCAACCATAATGTTTCTATGATTCTATGATTCTACAAGCACATCCATTGTTCAAGCAGAGGGACTGGCTGAAAAGAGAAGATGAGCTATTAATATTTACAGAAAGCTATTTGTCACATCACAAGAAAGTTGACAGTAATCGAGAAAACTGAAGTCATTGAAGCTGGATTTCATAATTCAGATATTTGTTAATGAGCACTCTTAGCAAATTAGATTACATCAGATGGATTACAGCTCCAGAGAAATCATCACGCACTTAACAAGTCCATAGCAGATTAGAGTATAACTTTATTTTAAGAAGAGACAGACAGAAAGCTCAGTTGCTTTGGCTGACCATCTTCAAAGTTTCGATGCGTCATGTGTGGTTACATTCAGCAACGTTCATTTTATTAAAGCTTTATTCAAGGCATACAGATTAATATACTGCTTTTAAAAACAGCTGTTTAATAAGTCGCGAACCCTTCCAAGCAGCCCTTCACCTATCCCATATTTATTCACACAGTGTATCTGCGCATAGGCTCTGATGAAGACAGCAGCAGACTTTGCTGCTACATTTTTCTAAATGATTATTTGTTGCCTGTGTTCACCTTACTGAATTCACAGCAGAAATGAACCAGTTTGCTCTTTGCCCTACTCCTTCCGCGAAGATCATAACATCGAAAAGCTTAATCCAGAAACTCCAAAGCTTTGAGCTCCCTCTGCTGAATTTTGGATGGAATCGTTTTGCCCCAGGAAATCTATAATTTCTTGACTAGTAACAGAATTATTCTTAGCACTTAATTTCTGGGAAACTTCTACTGAAATTGGAGCTGGTTTAATATTAAATTTTGTTCTGATGCAGAGCAGTTATGATCTGTTGACCCGGGCAAACACTTCCTTCATTAAACCCATGGGAACTGTCTTCAGACAAAATAACGAGAGGAAAGCAAGTTCCTTCAGTATTTTGATCCGTGAATGTGTCAAGGTAGCATTAATGTCAGATACAGACATAATAAAAGGGATTATTAAATCACCATGACAGATATTAGGAGCAAGTTCAAAGACATTTAAGTGATGATTTAGTTGATTTATATCTTCTAGTTCCATATTTGCTACTAATTTAGTCTGTCTTAGAATTACACTGATGTATGGAATTGCTTTCACATCTCCTCATATGTCAATGTTGAATTTGGCCAAGTAAGTTCATAAGAACTTCTTACAACCTAAATTTATGTTGGTTTCAATTGCACGTCAAGGGAGGCAGAATAAAGGTACAAACTACGCTGATAGAAGAAGCCAACAGAAACAGACTGATAGAAGCCCCATTATTCATCATGAATTTGGGGATTAGTTGATCAAAAACAAAGAAAGCATTGCTAAGATCCTAGTAGAGGAAACAATTTTAAGGGGATGCCTCTTTGGAGAAGACGAGGTTGTCCAGTGCTCCTATAACCTGGGAGGACAATACAGGAAACTAATCTGGTATTTAGTATGAAGTGCACTTTCTTTTCATATCCTTGTGGCCATCCTTCTGGATGTACAGATTGGTGTGTACAGCCCCAGATGCTGGTTTTCTTGACCGTGCGCAAGATTTGCTCCATGAAATGGATTGCAACAGGATGCTGAAAATCTAGCAACTCTATCTAAGGAGGGCTTGTGCTTGTGGGAGTTTTGTAAATGTTTGGAAGTAGGAGTTGCTCTTCAAGCTGGAATGTGAGACTGGAGAAGGAGGAGATGTGGAAAGTGATAATGTCTAAGCCTGTGTATCTGGGACTGTAATCTCTTCATGGCCAGGACCACAGTTCTATTTGTGTGCTGCAGCAATAATAAATTAAAGGATATACTGGAAAGAATTTAATAGTGAGGATAGCTTGAGGTATCAACCTGCCAGTGGTCGCTGAAGGAACAAGGAAAGCCCTCAAGCACCTACAATGTCTTGGGAAGAGAACCTGTACAGCTGTTCTGAATTTCAGAGACCTACAGATCAGTGGGATAAACTTGAACTCCCACATTTAAGACAAGTTCACAACTGTCTACCTCGTATAAAAATTGGCTTTAAAGTAGAAGGACTTCAAGTCTGCCTCATCTCTTCTTTTTTAAAGGTCTGGAGTTATTTCACATACAGATTACTCCTCGTGAGCAATGACCAATGTGCTAGAGGTCTGTGTTTTTAAGGAAAAGCTCGAGTCTCAGGAGGCTGCCCGACAGCCATCCTTGGCCCTTCAAACACCTCAGTGGGCCTCAGGGGTCGCTTTGGACAGGGCATAGGCAGCACCAGTTGTTATCCGGCTAAGCCGTGTACAAAATCAGGGAGGCGCCGTCTCCAGCAGCAGGAGGGGAAGGGAGGGCAGAGGCGAGGGGGCCGCCCGCGCCTCTCCTCACCGCAC